GGAGGTCGCAGTTAGCCGAGATCGCACCACTGTACTCCAGCCTGGGCAACAAGAGCAAAACAACATCTCAAAAAAAAGAGAGAAAAAAAAAAGGAGTGGAATCTAGACAAGAATGCAGGCCCTGAGAGGTGAGAGGTCTAAGTGTGCCTGCTCTTAGCTGGATGATCTTGAAGACAGCCATCTCTCCTCTCTGAACCTTTGTCTCATCGTTTTAAGGGAAAGGCTGTCAACCTGGCCTGCAGTTCAGGTGCATGGTAAGGAAGCATGGAAACACGTGTTATTAGCAGTGAGTTCTACAAGGAACACTGTAAATAAGTGGATCCTCCCTTGTTTAGGCGTCGGGTGAGACAGCTTCACCTCCCTCCAACCCAGCTCCCACTTTAAAGGAAGAACTCAAGTGGCCAGGCTCTGCTGGGCCAGCTCTGGCTGGTTGTAGGCCCCTATCCTTATCAGAGACGCACAGGCAGGACATCTGGGAAGTCAGGCCTCTGCTGCACCCCAGCTGTGTGGACTGAGGCAGATCATTTCCCTTTTCTCGAGCTCAGTAAACGGGAGGGTGGAACTGGATGGTCTCCCAGGTCATACCTAGCGGCACCCCAGGTCTGTCTTAGAGTCATGTCCAGCAGGTCTGAGATGGGAGGTTTCCCAGGAGAGGCTGGTGCACAGCCAGGCTGGCACACTTCTCCCTACTCTAAAGCCTTACGCTGTGTGTGCCAGTTCTCAGCAGTAGACCTTTCAAGAAGAGCCCTTAATAGCTCTTTTGTGCATGCTTACTACGTGGCAGACTCTGTCTTTGGCACTGCACTCATGCTCTTATCCTTACTTTTGCCCTCACAACACCACCATGAGCCAGCTGGATTATGACCATTGCCCAGATGAGGATACTGAGGATCGGGGAGGCTGAAGGTCTCACCATGCCATTTCACCCCAGGTGACACATACTCCACACAAAGCCCCAATCACTCAAGGTATCACTGCTCCTTCCCCACAAACACACCAGGTATCCAAGGAATGACAGGCAGGTGGCAGAGTGCCACTTAATGGTGATCTTTTTTAAAAAATGTTTTAAAGACACAGTCTGGCTCTGTCCCCTAGGTTGGGGTACAGTGGTGTGATCTCAGCGCACTGCAACCTCTGCCTCCTATGCTCAAGCCATCCTCCCACCTCAGCCCCCCAAGTAGCTGGGACTACAAATGCACACTACCACACTCAGCTAAATTGTTTGCATATTTTGTAGAGACAGGGTTTCACCATGTTGCCCAAGCTGGTCTCAAACTCCCGAGCTCAAGCGATCCACCTCAGCGCCCCCAAAGTGCTTGGATTACAGGCATAAGCCACTGCGCCCAGCCCTAATGGTGATCTTTAAAGATGCTCTGGGTAGCTCCCAAGTTCACCAAGGTAGCTTGCCAGGAGGGAAGCAGGTGCCCTGGCAGAGTGGGAGAGATGACTCCCAAATGTCAGGCTGAAGATCATGGAGAGTCTGGAGTAGAGGGCGCCTGAACCAGGTCTGTGGAATGGGAAGTCACTTCGACATCTTGCACAGTGCGGCAAATGATGAAGCCAGTCTAACTTTCTGGGAGTCATGAGCATGGATTTAAAAACTTTTTTTTTTAATGGCATCTCACTCTGTCACCCAGGCAACAGTGCAGTGGTGCAGTCATGCCACTGCAGCCTCGACCTCCTCAGGCTCAGGTGATTACCCCACCTTGTCCTCCCAAGTGGGTGGGACTACAAGCACGTGTTATCATGCCCGGCTAATTTTTGTATTTTTTGTAGAGACAGAGTTTCACCATATTGTCCAGGCTGGTCTTGAACTCCTGCCTCAATGATCCAACTGCCTTGGCCTCCCAAAGCATGGATTTTTACCCTTTATCTTTGTACCCCTGTGATCAAGGAAGGGAAAGTCTTACTAACTCATTTTACACTTGGACAAGATAAAACTTAGAGAGCTCCAGTGACTCACAAGCTAGTGGCAGAGGCACTCCTAACACTTTGATTGCACTGACCTGAGAGTGATGGTTGTGATGATGGAGGTGATGGTAGGAGTTAATATTGAGTGACTTTGTAGCAACTCTATTAGGTAAGTACAGTTGTTATCTCCATTTACACGTGGGAAACTGAGGCTCAGAGAAATGGATGAACTTACTCCAAGATAACACAGCTACTAGGTGATAAAGGAAAGATTCAAATCCTAGTAATGCTCTTTAACTCTAAAACTAAAGCTCTTTTTTTTTTTTTTCTGAGACAGAGTCTTGCTCTGTCGCCCGGGCTGGAGTGCAATGAATGGCACATCTCAGCTCACTGCAGCTCTGCCTCCTGGATTCAAGCGATTCTCCTGCCTCAGCCTCCGGAGTAGCTGGGATTACAGGTGTGTGCCACCACGCCCAGCTAATTTTTTGTATTTTTATTAGAGACAGGGTTTCGCCATGTTGGCCAGGTTGGTCTCGAACTCCTGACCTCAGGTGGTCCTCCCAAAGTGCTGGGATTACAGGCGTGAGCCACCGCACCCAGCCCCAAAGTTCTTTTTTTTGAGGCAGAGTCTTGCTCTGTCGCCCAGACTGGAGGGCAGTGGTGCAATCATGGCTCACTACAGCCTCGACTTCCCAGGCCTGTTCTATTCTCCCACCACAGTCCCCCAAGCTGGGACCACAGGCGTGTGCCACCATGACCAGCTAATGTTTTACATTTTTGTAGAGATGAAGTCTCCCTATGTTCTCGAACCCCTTAGCTCAAATGATCCCCTGCCTCGGCCTCCCAGAGTGCTGGGATTACAGGCGTGAGCCACCACACCAGGCCCAGAATCAAAGCTCTTAACCACCAGCTCTTCTGGCTGAGGAATCTTCCCTGCCAAGATGCCAGTAACATAGGTGCTTTTCTCCATCCAGCTCACCTTATTCTATTTACCCACACTAAGAAACTGCACCTGCCTCAGTGAGTGAAGCCCACCCCCACATTTCTCTCAGAGACTCACTCACACTCTGCTGTTTGACTCTCTGAGCCTCAGTTTCCATATCTGTAAAATATAGAGTTTAAACTAGTTGAGAGCTGAGGTCCTGCTTTTCCATAGTCTATAAGTCTGTGAGCTTGTAACAGTGTACGCTTGAAAATTTCTCCCCTGCCAACAATTTGAATTTGTCCTTGAATCGATCACAGGAGAGAAAATTCTCTTATTTCTGTCTCTCCCTCCCTTGCCCCCTCCCTCCCTCTCTCCCCCTCCCTCTCACCCCCTCCCTCCCTCCCTCTCTCCCTCTCTCTTTCCTTCCTTCCTCTTTCACTCTCTCCCCTTCTCTCAATTTTCAGCCTAATTATAGTTAACTCTGTTATTTAGAGACTTATTATCCAAGCTCATTATGAGTAATGATTCAGTCTGGAGGGGAAACAGCAACACTGCTAGTTTAATTTAATGCTTACCTAGTTCACTTAATTAGCAATAGGTCTTGGCAAAACGGTGGAGTTCATGGGTTCTTGCTGGCTGGGTGGGTGGGTGGGGAGAGGCTGTGTCTTGTTCTTAGAAAGATAAACAAGGCTTCAGAATAGAATGTGGGAGGAGGCAAGAGAGGGCTGCCTGTGACCTGGGCGGTAACATCTGTCCAGGTTGAGGCTAGCTCCCAAGAGTGAAAGGCTGCAAATTGCACGGAGCTGGAGGGACCTTAGGTCAGGTAGCACTTATTAGGCCCCTTCTGTGTGCCAGACCCTGTGCAAAGCTCTGGGCAAACCTTATTCCTTATGTCTCACGTGTGGGACCTGTACATTCAAAATAATATAAGTACTACCTGCCTTTGGTAATTCAACTCTTACAGTGAGTACATTCTCCTTTCAGTAGTCTCTATGGAATGTTGATGAGTTAAAAGAGAAATTTTCCCATTTGTTACCACTACGTCTTTTACCTTTCTCACCCTTTTCACAAAGGGAGGCCTCAGGCCCAGGGCCTTGGGCAGGCAACAGAATCTAGCTAGAAGTCAACATTGTTCAGCTTTGACTTTTTAAATAGTTTTAGTCTACTTATGGCAAATGATAGTGGTTGTCCATGTGTGGAAGTGACGTGATTTTCCATTATAGCAAAAATAAGTGAATTGTACTATAGAAAAATACTGGGTAAAAAGAAGTCAAGGTGGTACCCAGATGTGGCAACACTTCCAAGGAAAGAGGAGGATGAAAAAAGTCCCCTTCAGGACTCTGAGTTAGAGATTGCCCCAGGACATCTCGCAAACCCGAATGCTGTCCAGAATGCTTCTCAACCCAGGACTCCAGGCACCAGATGTCGGGGTGACCATGCCCCCACCCGCTTCCCAGCCCACCGCAGCCTCTCAAAGTTCCTCCCTGGCACCCCGCCCAAGCCCTACAAGCCTCGAATTCCTCCTGTTGCCCCTGTCAACCCCATTGCCCCTTTGCCATGTCATAGACCACTGCTCCCCCTCATCTTGTCATTGGTGCTGCTGGACTCCCTTTGTACCCCTCAGTGGGTAAACTGAGGCCCAAAGGGATGACTCCACAGTGAATAACAGCAGAGCCCTGGCCAAGCTGAAACAGCTTCCCTGGGCAAGCCCTGGTCCGTCCCCACTTTGAGCTTTGGAGCCCAGCAGCCGGGGCCCTTCCTAAAGGTACAGCTCCCACCCCACAACCCCTAAGTCCTGATATGCCTGTCCTGTGGCCCATCTGAGAATCAACGTGTTACCCTTCCCAGGTGACTTTGTCTCCATGAAGGAGCCTTCATGCAGCACAGAGTGGCGGGTGGCAGAGTGGGACAAAGGGACAACGGAAGTGTGCCCGCCATGCTTCCTGTATGCCACCTTCAGCCTCACCCAGGGGCAGAGCATTGCAGTCACCCACATTCATGTCTTCCTCTGCCATGACATGGATCCCACAGGGATCTCAGGGCCAATCAATGTGTGGCCCATGTGGCCATCCCTGGGGGCCTTCCTTCCTCACCCCATCACCCAGCCAGAGGCTGTCCCAAGACACCAAAAAAGAAAAACAAAGAAGTTCTGGAGCAAGCAGCATGTCCTTGTATCGGCTTTATTGAGGGGTTTGTAGCTCCCTGGGCCGGGCCTGACTGCTTAGGCCAGCCTCTTGCTCACGCGCTCATAGGTCACGCTTCCGATGGTGGAGAACTGAAAGAAGAAGCCGGGACAGAGGGAGTCAGTGCCCTGACCCAGGCCCCACCCCAAGGTAGCCAGGAGGCACCTCCGAAGGAAGATGGGCCTCTATAGGTGGGAGTCAGGCACACCACTTCTTTGGGCCTCAGTTTCCCAATTTGTTCCAGGAGTCAGTGTGCAGACTCCCTGTGATGAAGGGTAACCAGCTGTGAGGGGTGATGTGGCTCTGGGTGTGTAACCTGCACCTCAGTTCCCCTCCATTCACCCGTGCCAGGCTCTTCCCCCCGCATGATTCCATTTACTCCTCCCAACAGCCCTGTGAGGTGGTTCCCATTGTACAGATGGGAAAACGTAAGTTTAGAGAAGTCAAGTAACCCTTCCAAGGCCACACTCCACAGCTGCATCACACAGTGTTTATGGGCAGCTGTCACAGGTTCACTGATGGGAAGACACAGTCCCTACGCTCAGGAAGCCTAAGGTTTAGTGGGAGAGGCAGGCAGGGGGATACTCTTCATTGAAGGCTGGCAGTGTGCGGTGCCCCGGGCTCCATGCCATGGAGCTGTGCTGCCGTTCGATGTGCACATGTCTTCAGTTGGTTCTGAAACCCCACATAGGAAAGCAGCATTGCCATGAGAAGGGCAGGTGGCAAACAGAGAGCTGTGGGAGCGCCCAGAGGAGGCAGGGAGCCCCTGACTAGGGAACGGGGTGGGGAATTGGCTGCCAGACAGAATCCTGAAGAAGTGGATTTGGAAAAGCAAACAGGAGACTGGGAATTCAGAGCAGAGGAACCACGTGGCACAGGAAGGGAGATAGCAACAGCTCTGGCCAGCTTGGGAGCAGTGGCTGGTCCAGGGAGACTGGACAGAGCGCACCTGTAGGATTGGGCAGTAAGGTCCTTGAAGGTCAGGTGGAGGAGTTTGGTCCTGATTCATAAAAAAAGGCAGCAGTGTGAAGTGATGCGTGATTTGCATATGGGATGGATGGAAGGTGGAGGAGAGGTGGAATCAGAGGAGGCTGGGGCTTAGTGTAGGGGAGAGATGATGAGAACATGTCAGGGGTACTAGTGGCAGGAGGCAGGAGGAGGGACGCTTACAAAATGTGCTGTCAGTGGAGAAGTGGAGAGGTCTCGGGATGATTCCGGGCCTCTAGACATGGGAGATTTGCAATTAAGACAGCTCCTCTCAGGGCCTAGTCATGCAATTTTGTTCATGTGTGCACATGCCTGGGTCTATGTGCATGCAGACGTGTGTGTACCCAGCTGTGTCATGTATGCGTGTGCGGATGCTGACCCTGAACTCTGGTCACTGCCTATACCACATGGGCTCCATAGTGAGGAGCCTCTGGGAATTGAGAAGCAGGTTCGCTCAGCTTGGGAAGATAATTCTCTTGTCAGTCCCAAACCTGCTTCCAGTTCTCCTGTCCTATGTTCGCCCCGCACACTTCACAGGCTGGGGAGCTTTGCTTCTTCTGGAAGTTACTGACTGACATTTTATGTAAAAATACATCAAAAACCCTTTCATCAGACCCTCCAAAATGTCAGTTTTCACCCAGGAAAAGAGGGATATAGTCACTTTTGTTCTTTCTACAGTTTTTCAACACTATACATCTATTAATTTTTAGATTTTTTTTTTTTTTTTTTTTTTTTTTTTTTTGAGACAGAGTTTCACTCTTGTTGCCCGGGCTGGAATGCAATGGGGCTATCTTGGTTCACTGCAACCTCTGCCTCCCAGTTTCAACTGATTCTCCTGCCTCAGCCTCCCGAGTAGCTGGGATTACAGGCATGCACCACCACGCCTGGCTAATTTTTTTTGTATTTTTAGTAGAGATCTAGTTTCACCATGTTGGCCAGGGTGGTCTTGAATTCCAGACCTCAGGTGATCCACCCACCTCGGCCTCCCAAAGTGCTAGGATTACAGTCGTGACCCACCACACCTGGCCAAGTTTTAGATTCTTTTTTTTTTTTTTTTTTTTTTTTTTTTTGAGACGGAGTTTCACTCTTGTTACCCAGGCTGGAGTGCAATGGCGCGTTCTCGGCTCACCGCAGCCTCCGCCTCCTGGGTTCAAGCAATTCTCCTGCCTGAGCCTCCTGAGTAGCTGGGATTACAGGCATGCGCCACGATGCCCAGCTAAGTTTTTTGTATTTTTAGTGGAGACGGGGTTTCACCATGTTGACCAGGATGGTCTCGATCTCTTGACCTCGTGATCCACCCGCCTCGGCCTCCCAAAGTGCTGGGATTACAGGCTTGAGCCACCGCGCCCGGCCTCAAGTTTTAGATTCTTTAAACAAAAATGTTAAAGGGAGATAAAAGACCCGTGGGCCTTGGCAGAACAGGCAGAGGGCCTAGGCTAGAAGTTGGCAGATGAAGTCTGCCTCTACGGCCAAGTCCCCTGCTGTCTCTGCGCCTTGTAATGCTGCACTGTAAAATGAGGATAATGGCAGGCCCCTGAATCTCTTGGGTGGTGTTATGGACTGCATGTGTGTCCCCCACCAAAATCATATGGTGAAGGTTGAACTCCCAATGTGATGGTATTTGGAGACAAGACCTTTAGGACGTAATTAGGTCATGAGGGTGGAGTCCCCATGAGGGATTACTGCCCTTCTAATCACAGACACAAGGCCTGGTGCAGTGGCTCAAGCCTGTGGCAGGCAGATCGCTTGAGGTCAGGAGTTTGAGACCAGCCTTACCAACATGGTAAAACACTGTCTCTTCTAAAAATACAAAAATTAGCTGGTGTGGTGGCACATGGCTGTAATACCAGCTACTCAGGAGGCTGAGGCACGAGAATCACTTCAACTGGGGAGGCAGAGGTTGCAGTGAGCTGAGATTGTGTCACTGTACTCCAGCCTAGGCAACAGAGCGAAACTGTATCTCAAAAAAAGTAAATAAATAAAAGGCCAGGAACAGTGGCTCATGCCTGTAGTCCCAGCACTTTGGGAGGCCAAGGGGGGCAGATCATGAAGTAGGGAGTTTGAGACCAGCCTGGCCAAAATGGTGAAACTCTTGTCTCTACTAAAAATACAAAAATTAGCTGGGTGTGGTGGTGCGAACTTATAATCCAGTTACTTGGGAGGCTGAGGCAGAATTGCTTGATTCTGGGAGGCAGAGGTTTCAGTGAGTGGAAATCACGCCACTGAACTTCAGCCTGGACAACAGAGCAAGACTCTGTCTCAAAAAAAAAAAAGAAAGAAAGAAAACAGACGTGAGAGAGGTGATGTTTCCCTGCCATGTGAAGAAACCAGAATGGAGGCCCTCAAAAGCACTTGCACACACTGGCACCCTGATCTTGTACTTCCCAGCCTCCGGAACTATGTGAAATAAGCGTCCGTGGTGTAAATCGTTTATACCACAATGTCTGAGAGAGGCAGTGTGCTCCTTTCCTCTTGACAGGGCTTGAGATGAGGGCACAAGGAAGCAAGAGAGAGAGAGAGGGAGAAAGGGAGAGAGAGAGGAGGATCAAAGAAAGAGAAGCAAGGGGGTCGTGAACTCTGCCTTCCTCATCACATCTTCCCTGCTGGAGAGCTTCAGAGAGGAGGGAAGGGCCCTTTCTAGACCTACACGGGACCCCAGAGGTCTCTGGCCCAGGTCACAGGCTCACAGTGAAGGAATGAAGTGTGGAAATGCCTTCTTTTCCCTTTTAACTTCATGCCCATTTCTTCCACCTGGGGAAAACTTGAAGATCCATGGGAAAGAAACAGAAGTGAGAGGAAGGGCCACCCAGGGCACCACCTCCAGTGTAGGAGGGGTGGGTCCACAGGTGTGTGTGTTGGACCTGCCAACATTTAAAGGAATTTTGTAATTAGTTGTCAATATTTAACTGTGTGGAGATTTCACATGAAAGTGCAAATTTCCAGCTTCTCTTGATAAATCAGAAGATCTGGTAGAAGGAGCCTGATGTCCCTCATGGAAATGGAGTGGAGTGGTGGCTCTCCTTTGAGGAGCCCACTTAGACCACGCCCTTTATTTATATTCTAGGAAGGATCTTCCAAGCCTCCAGTCTTGTGCCCCAGAGGTGGCTGAGTGTGAGTGCTGGAGTCAGGCTACCTAACATCAGATCACAGCTCTCATCAAAGCTGTGTGCTCCCTCATTTAGTTTCCCTGTGCCTCAGGGAAATAATGCCTTTCCCTCTGCCTCAGGAAAATGGAGATTAAAATCCCCACCTCATAGGGTTACTCTGAAGATCCAATGACATCATATGCATCCAGCACTCAGCATAGAGCCTGGTACAAGGGAAGTGCTGGTAAAGCCAGCTGCCCAGAGGTCTATCTTAGAGGGGCTGTGGCCAGGAGGAAGACAAGTATCCAGTCATCATCCCAGAAACCAGGAGGAGACTTACCTCCACCAGCTTGTCACCCACGATCTCTGAGGTCTGGTGATAGTTGGGGAAATTCACCACCAGCTTCCCACCCTCCATCTGCACAGTGGCCTGGAATGGAAGCACAACATGAAGCCTGGGATGTTGCAAGTGATCGGCAACTATCTGGGGCTGGTGGCGCAGGCAGTAGGAAGAATTGACCAAGGCCAAGCTCAGTGGCTTATCCCTATAATCCCAGCACATTGGGAGGCTGAGGAGGGCAGATCATTTGAGGGCAGGCATTCAAGACCAGCCTGGCCAACATAGTGAAACCCCATCTCCACTAGAAACACAAAAATTAGCCAGGCATGGTGACTCATGCCTGTAATCCCAGCTATTTGAGAGACTGAGGCATGAGAATCACTTGAACCTGGGAGGCAGAGGCTGCAGTGAGCTGAGATTGTGCCACTGTGCTCCAGCCTGGGCAACAGAGCAAGACTCCATCGCAAAAAAAAAAAAAAAAAAAAAAAAAAAAAAAAAAAAAAAAAAAAAAAAAAAAAAAATGTTACCAAGACAGTTGTAGGTAAAGAAAGTCAGATTTCTTGTTTCCTGTTTCCTATGATCCATGTTAGAGGAAGTTTAAAAAAAAAAAAAAGGCCGGGCGCGGTGGCTCAAGCCTGTAATCCCAGCACTTTGGGAGGCCGAGGCGGGTGGATCACGAGGTCGAGAGATCGAGACCATCCTGGTCAACATGGTGAAACCCCATCTCTACTAAAAATACAAAAAATTAGCTGGGCATGGTGGCACGTGCTTGTAATCCCAGCTACTCAGGAGGCTGAGGCAGGAGAATTGCCTGAACCCAGGAGGCGGAGGTTGCGGTGAGCCGAGATCGTGCTATTGCACTCCAGCCTGGGTAACGAGTGAAACTCCGTCTCAAAAAAAAAAAAAAAAAGAAAGATTTCTTAGAGAAAGTATGAAAACACATTGCAAGAGTGCACTGGGCAGGTCAGCAAGAGGGGAGCTGACTGCAAAGAGACATTGCTGGGGAGTTCACAGACTGTTGCTTATGCTGTGTGCTGAAGAAGGTTTTGTGCAGTATTGATAAAGCAAAGGTTGCAGTGAGATAACTTACATTTTTCTATCAGCCGAGGTGTTTGATGATTGCTAGACACAGGAAGATTGTGAGTTATTTGCACGGGGGAGCTATGTGTCCTGGACCATGAAGAAAGGCAGACTTATAGCTTATCTGCTCTCTCTTTTTACATTCCTCTGGTGCCACCAGCCTGACTCCTTTTCTATAATTAGAACTCCACATGGGTTACCAGAGACCTAATGTTAGAGGCAAAAGGCTGGGGTTCAAATCCCTGGTCCCACCATGTTCTGGCTGCAGGGCCTTAGACACATTACTTGTCCTCCCTAAGCTTCAGTTTCTTTACTTCTGAAACAAAAGCAAATTACTGCCTTTTTTCTTCTAGCATTCACTACGCGGCAGGCACTGTGCTAGGTGCTTTCATGCGCTGTCTTGTTTAATCTTTGCCATAGCTCTTGGAGCCAGAGACTATATGGTAGTCTTATTTTGCATACTAGAGATACAAGGCTCAGGGGAGTGAAATGACTTGCCCAAGGCCCTACAATTGCTGGTGGAAAATTGTGATTTCAAACCTAGCCAAGGCTAACTCCAGAGTCCAGCCTCTTTATCTCTGTGCTACACCGGGAGGCAGCACTTATGGCCCGTCATGGTGGCTCACGCCTGTAATCCCAGTACTGTGGGAGGCTTAGGTGAGCCAATCACAGGGTCAGGAGTTCCAGGCCAGGCTGGCCAACATGGTGAAACCCCGTCTCTACTAAAAATACAAAAATTTTAGCCAGGCGTGGTGGCAGACACTGTAATCCCAACTACTCAGGAGGCTGAGGCAGGAGAATTGCTTGAACCCAGGAGGTGGAGGTTGCAGTGAGCTGAGATCACACCACTGCACTCCAGCCTGGGTGACAGAGTGAGACCCTGTCCTGCAAAAAAAAAAAGCACTTTTGCTCTCTGGTGCCTGGTGTAAAGACTTGCCCCTGCTGTGTGACTAAGTCAAGTGGATTTTCGTTTGGTTGGTTTGTTTCTTTGTTTTTGAGACAGTCTTACTCTGTCACTCAGGCTGGAGTACAGTGGCCATATCTTGGCTCACTGCATCTCCGCCTCCTGGGTTCAAGCAACTCCTCTGCCTCAGCCTCCTGAGTAGCCAGGATTAAGGCACGCACCACCATGTCCAGCTAATTTTTATATTTTTGGTAGAGACAGTATTTCACCAGCTTGGCCAGGCCAATCTCCAACTTCTGGCCTCAAGCCATCTACCCACCTCAGCCTCCCAAAGTGCTGGGATTACAGGCATGAGCCACCACACCTGGCCAGCAAGCTTTTTAATCCCATGATTTAGCCTTCCCCTTCAATCTAGGCAATTTCATAGGATTAACTGCATTAAGATGAAAAAACTGGCCGGGCGTGGTGGCTCAAGCCTGTAATCCCAGCACTTTGGGAGGCCTAGGCGGGTGGATCACGAGGTCAAGAGATCGAGACCGTCCTGGTCAACATGGTGAAACCCCGTCTCTACTAAAAATACAAAAAATTAGCTGGGCATGGTGGCACATGCCTGTAATCCCAGCTACTCAGGAGGCTGAGGCAGGAGAATTGCCTGAACCCGGGAGGCGGAGGTTGCGGTGAGCGGAGATCGCGCCATTGCACTCCATCCTGGGTAACAAGAGCGAAACTCTGTCTCAAAAAAAAAAAAGAAAAGAAAAAAAAAAAAGATGAAAAAACTGTTCAGCAAGTGTCTAGGTTATATTACGTGTTCAGCAAGCATTAGCTATTTTTCTTACTGTTTTAGTGCCCATTTTTGATTATTAAAAACCAGGAGCATTAAATTGCCACGTAACACAAGCTCTTAATGCTGGAGGCCAAACTGGAGAAAGACGCCTCAGCTTGGGAGCAGGGAGGCCGCGTTTGAGATGGAGAAGTTGGATGGAGACCTGGGGAGGGAGGCGGACAGGTAGTGGCCTCTCACCTTGAACTTCTTGCCCCCCATTGTCTGTATCTCGCTTTCCTTGCCAACAGTGAACTTGTTGGTCATGGTGCGGCCCCCGGCGTAGTGCTGGGACCAAGTGAAGTCCTGCCCATCCTGCTGCACTTCCGTGACGATCTTGAAGTTGCGGGCCTTTTCGATTACATCGCTGGAGATTCCTGGACCCCAGACAAGCAGAGTAGCCATATAAGAGTTGCTTTTAACCCTGTGATTTGGAGAAAGAGCTTTCCTGCCCACTCCCACCCCCCTACCCTCTGTGCATGGTTGGCTAGCCTGCAGATAAAGAGCACAGTGCCTGAGACAGATAATACATTCTGTGACCCATGTGGCTGGGGCAAGTCACTATCTCTCTGAGCCTCAGTGTGTTCATCCACAAGATGGGGATAATAAGGCCCATCCCAAAGAGGTATTCCAAGAATTATATTCCATGTGAGTGTGTTATGAAGCTCCTGGCACATAATGGGTGCTCATCAATCATAAGCAAGATTCTGATAGTAATACAAACATGACGGAATCTTGCCAAGCTCATGAAGTTCTGGAATGGACAAGGCTTCCAAGATTGTGTGTTCTGGCCAGGTGTGGTGGTTCATGCCTGTAATCCCAGCACCTTGGGAGGTTGAGGCAGGCAGATCATTTGAGGTCAGGGGTTCGAGACCAGCCTGGCCAACATGGTGAAACCCCGTCTCTACTAAAAATACAAAAAAATCATACAGGCATGGTGGTGAGCACCTGTAATATCAGCTACTTGAGAGGCTGAGGTAGGAAAATCACTTGAACCCAGGAGGCAGAGGTTGCAGTGAGCTAGGATCATGCAGTGCAGTCCAGCTTGGGCAAAAGAGCTGGACTCTGTCCCCCTCTAAAAAAAAGAAAAAAAAAGATTGTGTCTTCTGATACTTCAATTTTACAGATAAGAGAGTGAATACCACAATGGGAAAGGGACCTTCCAGTATTTCCTTGAAAGGTCATGAGTTCATGACAGAATCAGGTCTAGAACTGAGGTGGGCTCACTTCTCCTCCCACAACATGAGACTGTTACAGGTGAAGCCAGGTCATTGCTCCTTCAGGGCCACTGCCCATACATGACTCAGAAGGGCTATCAAATCTTCAAGGCCACAGGGCACAAGGGCCCTGGTTTCAGGGCTGCTCTGACCCAGCTGGCTGGAAAGATGTGGCCACTGAGACGGAGGGCCCGGGTCCCCTGGAGCTGTCCTCTGAACCTTGAGAGTTACACTGCCTGAGACTTTTAAATAGTGAGATACTGAGATTTCCACAGGATTGTCAGACCCACTGTCTCATGGTTCCTCACAGAAGACAAGTGCTACAAGTAAGCAGTGAGAGAAGGAAGAAATCATTGGTCTCTATGCCCACAGTCTAGCACAGTGAGAGGTCTGTGTTTGCTGAATGACTGCATGAAGAAGTGACTAGTCAAACCTGGCCTCCGTGATAACCCTTTGGTTTCCTCTCCTGGGCAGGATGTGGTGACACCACTCATATAGGCTCCTGGGTGCCAATGGCCTCTGCCACTGACTTTGGCAAGTCACGCTGAGTCTCCATTGGTAGCATAGATAGAGATAGCCTTGCATATAGCTGGTGTTCAGTAAATGACGGGCAGGGCACAGTGGCTCATGCCTGTAATCCCAGCACTTTGGGAGGCCGAGGCGAGCAGATCACCTGAGGTTAAGAGTTCCAGACCAGACTGGCCGACAGGGTAAAACCCTGTCTCTACTAAAAAATACAAAAAACTGGCCGGGCGTGGTGGCATGTGCCTGTAAATCCAGCAACTCAGGAGACTGAGAGAGGAGAATCACTGGAACCCAGGAGGCGGAGGTTGCAGTGAACCGAGATCACGCCACTGCACTCCAGCCTGGGAGACAGAGTGAGACTCTATCTCAAAAATAAATTAAGAAAAATAAAAATAAGACCGGGCGCAGTGGCTCAAGCCTGTAATCCCAGCACTTTGGGAGGCCGAGACGGGTGGATCACGAGTTCAAGAGATCGAGACCATCCTGGTCAACATGGTGAAACCCCGTCTCTACTAAAAATACCAAAAAAAAAAAAAAAAATTAGCTGGGCATGGTGGCACGTGCCTGTAATCCCAGCTTCTCAGGAGGCTGAGGCAGGAGAATTGCCTGAACCCAGGAGGCAGAGGTTGCGGTGAGCCGAGATCGCGCCATTGCACTCCAGCCTGGGTAACGAGTGAAACTCCGTCTCAAAAAAAAAAAAGAAAAGAAAAGAAAAAGAAAAAGAAATGTTTGACCAAATAAACATCAAATTTCTACTTCATCAACCAAGTCCCTACTTTACCAATTAACTGGCTGTTTGACTTTGGACTAGTTACTCAATTCTCTGGGCCTCAAGTTTTCTGTCAGTAAAGTGGAGATACTAATAAATTCTGTGTGTGTTTTAAAGTCAGAGTGTCTAGGTCGGGCGTGGTGGCTCACACCTGTAATCCCAGAACTTTGGAAGGCTGAAGCGGGTTGGATTACCTGAGGTCAGGAGTTCAAGACCAGCCTGGCCAACATGTTGAAACCTCATCTTTCCAAAAAACAAAAAAATTAGCCCGGTGTGGTGGCGCACACCTGTAATCCCAGCTACTTGGGTGACTTAGGCAAATGAATCCCTTGAACCTGGGAGCCAGAGGTTGCAGTGAGCTGAGATGGTGCCACTGTACTCCAGCTTAGGTGACAGAGTAATACTCTGTCTCAAAAATAAAATATAAAATTAAATTAAAAAGTCTGGCTGGGCACAGTGGCTCATACCTGTAATCTCAGCACTTTGGGAGGCCGAGGTGGGTGGATCACGAGGTCAGGAGTTCAAGACCAGCCTGGCCAATGTGGTGAAACCCCATCTCTACTAAAGATACAAAAAAAATTAGCCAGGTGTAGTGGTGCATGCCTGTAATCCCAGCTACTCAGGAGGCTGAGGCAGGAGAATCACTTGAACCTGGGAGGTGTGGTTGCAGTGAGCCAAGATCACGCCACTGCACTCCAGCCTGAGCAATAAGAGTGAAACTCCATCTCAAATAAATAAATAAAGTCAAAGAGTGGCCGGGCGCGGTGGCTCAAGCCTGTAATCCCAGCACTTTGGGAGGCCGAGGCGGGTGGATCACGAGGTCGAGAGATCGAGACCATCCTGGTCAACATGGTGAAACCCCGTCTCTACTAAAAATAGAAAAAATTAGCTGGGCATGGTGGCGCGTGCCTGTAATCCCAGCTACTCAGGAGGCTGAGGCAGGAGAATTGCCTGAACCCAGGAGGCGGAGGTTGCGGTGAGCCGAGATCGCGCCATTGCACTCCAGCCTGGGTAACAAGAGCGAAACTCCGTCTCAAAAAAAAAAAAAAAAAAAAAAAAAAGTCAAAGAGTGTCTTTTAATTCTTATTATCCTCAGAGCCTAGGAGAAAGCAATTATTCAACAAGTGTGTGAATGAATAAGTGAATGCATGAATGAAGTCCTGTCCCATCCTGTCCCATTAGGGGTTTGGGTTCCTGGCCCAGAGCTGGCTGTGACAAACCAGCCCCGAGGAAGGCAGACTCAGGAGCTCACTCACCCAGCAGCTTCATGAACTCATCATAATTCTTCTCACTCTCTATCTCGAACTTGCCAGTGAAAGCCATGCTGCTAGGAGGCTGGAGGCCAGAGAGCAGAGGGCTGAGGAGAACAGGTGGTGTAGAGGGGTGTGCTGTCCCAGCTTATAAACTCTCCCAGTTGCTGAGGTTCAGCCCCTAAATCACCCCACTTCTTCTCCCTCCGGCCCTGAAAAGGAAGCTCTTGCTATTTTATGATGTGGGCAAGACCTGGAGGGTCAGAGCCCTGAGGTTATTCACCCTCAGGAAGTGCTGGCTGTGATCCCACTGCCATTGCCAGCAAGGCCAGGAAAAGGATGGCCGCGGGTTTGAGGAGTCATCACCTCTCTGCCCATCTCTCCCTCGATTCCTGCACGCCCTGCCCTCCATCCATGCTCTCACTCATTCACTCCCTCACTCTGCAGCCAAAGCACGTGAGCACTTTGCTGCGTGCAGGGCCGGCACTGAAGAAACACAAATGAACGACACACACACCTTTGTGTCAAAGACACAAAGACAAAGAGCCTTTTGGTTTAGTCCAGAGACAAGCACACACCTGCAGAGAGTTCTTGTGTAAGCAGGATGCAATGCACCCCAGGAGAAAAGCAGATAGCTGGCCTGGGCGTGGGGAAGGAGCAATGGTGTCCAGCAGGGGGCTGGTGCATATTTGGGGAGGAGGCGGCATTTGGCATCGTCTTGGAGGACCAATAGGACTTGGATGTGTAGAGAAGCAGGAGGATTAGAATAGATTGAGAACAAAGGGAGACGATATTCTAGGATGAGGGAACAGTGAGTTGAAAATGGAAAGGGCCACAGTGAAAGGAAACAATGAGTTTGGCTGGAGCAAATTACACTTGAAGAACAGATGCCCCGAAGGGTGCAAATAATGCAACCAGAGTAAAGCAGCAACCCATGGACCTCGGGAGCGCACCTGGAGGAGAAGGTGCCAGGTACCTTGAAAACACCTGTGCATCAGGCACTGGGCTGGGAGTTGAACGAATTTTATTTTGTTCAAGTCTCAGAACTGAAAGGGGTTAGGGATTCAGACTCTTTACTTCTAGTTCCTGCCCTCTCTCCCAGTACCACTTCACATGCAGGAACTCCATCTCCTCAGTGACTGCTCCAGCCTACCTATCTTTTTTTTTTTTCTTCCGAGGTGGAGTTTCGCTCTTGTTACCCAGGCTGGAGTGCAATGGCGCGATCTCGGCTCACTGCAACCTCCGCCTCCTGGGTTCAGGCAATTCTCCTGCCTCAGCCTCCTGAGTAGCTGGGATTACAGGCACTCGCCACCATGCCCAGCTAATTTTTTGTATTTTTAGTAGAGACGGGGTTTCACCATGTTGACCAGGTTGGTCTCGATCTCTTGACCTCATGATCCACCCGCCTCGGCCTCCCAAAGTGCTGGGATTACAGGCTTGAGCCACCGCGCCCGGCCAGCCTACCTATCTTATGAGATCGTCCTCTGCACTGGGTAAAATTGACAGTGCAAAGTATAAAACACTCTGCAAAGGCTCTCGTGATTATTGTTAGAGATGGAGTTTTGCTCTCGTTGCCCAGGCTGGGGTGCAATGGTGCGATCTTGGCTCACCGCAACCTCCACCTCCTGGATTTAAGCAATTCTGCCTCAGCCTCCTGAATAGCTGGGATTGCAGGCATGCGCCACCATGCCCAGCTAATTTTGTATTTTTAGTAGAGATGGGGTTTCTCCGTGTTGATCAGGCTGGTCTCAAACTCCAGACCTCAGGTGATCCTTCCGCCTCGGCCTCCCAAAGTGCTGGAATTACAGGCATGAACCACTGCACCCTGCTGATTATTATTATTAATTCAGGAAATCTCTGCACATCTATTTCCTTTTCCAAGGCCTGCTCTTCACGAATCTCCTTCATTTCCATCCAAAGCTAAATTCAATACTGACTTCCAGACATGGGACTAAGGGGTCTCTGAACTGATGAAAAACCAACTCTGCCACATTTTACCAGGCTTTAACCTCCAATCTTGGAATTGAAATTCCAGTCTTGGAATTTCAGCCAGGACTCTTATTTTAGGCACACACACACACACACATTCACACACACACACACACACATTCACACACACACACACATATTCACACATTCTCACACACACACACACACACACACACACTGTGGATGTTTCTGATAAGTTATATATATAAAAATTTCAGGCCAGGCGTGGTGGCTCACGCCTGTAATCCAAGCACTTTAGAGGCCAAGGCCGGTGGATCACCTGAGGTCAGGAGTTCAAGACCGGCCTGACCAACATGGTGAAACCCCATCTTTAAAAAAAAAAAAAAAAAAAAAGAGCTGGGCGCGGTGGCTCAAGCCTGTAATTCCAGCCCTTTGGGAGGCCGAGGCGGGTGGATCACGAGGTCAAGAGATCGAGACTATCCTGGTCAACATGGTGAAACACTGTCTCTACTAAAAATACAAAAAAATTAGCTGGGCATGATGGCTCATGCCTGTAATCCCAGCTACTCAGGAGGCTGAGGCAGGAGAATTGCCTGAACCCAGGAGGCGGAGGTTGCGGTGAGCCGAGATCGTGCCATTGCACTCCAGCCTGGGTAACAAGAGCAAAACTCCGTCTCAAAAAAAAAAAAAAGAAAGAAAGAAAAAGAAAAGAAAAAAAATTTTCAAATAATTCTTCTATGCTTTTTTTTCTTTCTGAGACAGGGTCTCTCTTTGTCTCCCAGACTGGAGTATGAGTGATCTCAGCTCACTGCAGCCTCAACTTCCCAGGCTCCAGTGATTCTCCCACCTCAGCCTCCCGAACAGCTGGGAATGCAGGTGCATGCCACCATGACAGACTTTTTTTTTGCGGGGGGGAGCAGAGTCACCCTCTGTCGCCCAGACTAAAGTGTAGTGGTACAATCTTGGCTCACTGCAACCTCTGCCTCCTGGGTTCAAGCGATTCTCCTGCCTAGACTTCCTAGTAGCTGGGACTACAGATGCGTGCCATCATGCTTGGCTAATTTTTGTATTTTTAGTAGAGAAGAGGTTTCACCATGTTGGCCAGGCTGGCCTTGAACTACTGACCTCAGGCTACCTGCCATGGCCTCCCAAAGTGCTGGGATTACAGGCATGAGTCACTGTACCCGGCCTGCTTAATTTTTGTATTTATTTTTTGTAGAGACAGGTTCTTGCTATGTTGCCCAGATTGGTCTCGAACTCCTGGGCTCAAGTAATCCTCCAGCCTCCCAAAGTGCTGGGATTACAAGCATAAGCCACCACACCCAGTCCTTCCAGGCTTTTAAATGCACATATTTGCTTTCCTGTATAAATGAAACTATATAGTTTTGTTACCTCCTGTTTATGTAATGATACAGGCACATGTCTATATCATTACAAAAAGGTATATATCCTGTTCAATAGCTCCAGAGTATTCTATCGTATGTATGTCTCATAACTTAAACTTAGCTATTGCTGGATTTTTAAGTTTTTTTCCAATCTTTTCCCATTATAAATAACTGTGATATAAATATTCTTTTTCACACCTTTCACTATACATGTCAGATTATTTACTAAGATTACTTGCTAAGGATGAATTCCCAGACATGAAATTCCTGGAGCAAAGGGTTTTAGTGTTTAAAATGTGTGTATCTACTACTTTACTGCCTTTCAGAAAAGCTGTAGCAGTCTACACTCCTGCCTAAAGCATGTGAGAATGTCCCCTCACTGATAATAATCATGATGAAATAACAATGACAAGAATAGCTCACATCTATTGGCTCTTTATTATGCATTTGGCACTCACCTGTTTTACACGAATGATCTCACTTAATCTTCAGAACAACTCTGTGAAGTATATACTGTTATTGCCCGCATTTCGCCTAGGAGCAAACAGAGGTTCAGTGAAATATTAACCTTGAAAGTATACCTTGCCAAAGTCAGAGTCCCAGTGTATAGTTTGTATTTACTTTTAAAATGGCTTTCATGGCTTTTAAGGACATTTCAAAAAATCCCTATGATCCCATAACCCTAACACACGTAACTGTTTTTATTTATTTATATATCTGAGACAGAATCTCTCTCTCTTGCCCAGGCTGCAGTGCAGTGGAATGATTCGACTCACTGCAACCTCCACCTCCTGGGTTCAAGTGATTCTCCTGCCTCAGCCTCCCAAGTAACTGGAATTACAGGCACATACCACCATGCCTGGCTAATTTTTCCGTTTTGTTTGTTTGTTTGTTTGTTTGTTTTTTGAGACGGAGTTTCACTCTTGTTACCCAGGCTGGAGTGCAATGGCGCGATCTCAGCTCACCGCAACCTCGGCCTCCTGGGTTCAGGCAATTCTCCTGCCTCAGCCTCCTGAGTAGCTGGGATTACAGGCACGCACCACCACGCCCAGCTAATGTTTTGTATTTTTAATAGAGACGGGGTTTCACCATGTTGACCAGGATGGTCTCAATCTCTCGACCGCATGATCCACCAGCCTCGGCCTCCCAAAGTGCTGGGATTACAGGTGTGAGCCACCGCGCCCGGCCTAGTTTTTCTGTTTTTAGTAGAGACAGGGTTTTGCCATGTTGGCCAGGCTGGTTTTAAACTCCTGACCCAGGTGATCCATTCACCTCAGTCTTCCATAGTGATGGGATTTACAGGAGCGAGCCACCACGCCCGGCCTTATGTTTTCTACTCTCTTCCCTCTTTCATTATTTCTCTCCTTGTCCCTCATCATTGTTTTCTTTCTTATCAACTATAACAGATACACAATAACCATACCCCACAATATTGCATTCTATTTTTCTTCACCCAGCATTAGTTTGTAAACACAGTCCCATGTTTCTAAAAAGCTGTTAGGTTTGGCCAGACACATAACTCATATCTGTAATCCCAGCACTTTGCAAGGCTAAGGTGGGCAGATAACTTGAGGCCAGGAGTTCGAGATCATCCTGACCAACATGGCCCATTACCACAATAAGGGAGATGTTAAGTTGGCCATAAGGTATTTAAAATGTGTTTATCTAGTACTTTACTGCCTTTTGTGAACTAGAGCCAATGAGTGAACTAGAAAGGTTTAGGGGGTGGGGCATAGTGTCCTGGAGTCTTCCGGGGTCTCTGGTCTTGGAGGAAGTTCATGCCTTGTAAAACCGCTTCTTCTGCTGGGCATGGTGACTCAAGCCTGTAATCCCAGAACTTTGAGAGGCCGAGGTGGGTGGATCACGAGGTCGAGAGATCGAGACCATCCTGGTCAACATGGTGAAACCCCGTCTCTACTAAAAATACAAGAAATGAGCTGGGCGTGGTGGCGCATGCCTATAATCCCAGCTACTCAGGAGGCTGAGGCAGGAGAATTGCCTGAACCCAGGAGGCCGAGGTTGCGGTGAGCTGAGATCGCGCCATTGCACTCCAGCCTGGGTAACAAGAGCGAAACTCCGACTCAAAACAAAACAAAACAAAACAAAACAAAACAAAACAAAACAAAACAAAACAACAACAAAAAAATACCGCTCCTTCTGCCTTCACCTGCCTGGAATGACTGCTCACCTTTCAACAGTCTTTGAGTTCTAATTGTCCTTCTACCCCCACCTCCTCCAATGAGGCTTCTTTGATTACTCCAACCTGTAGATATTGCCCCTTGCAAAAATCCCCACAGCCTATACCTTCTCTTTGTAGTGGATCAGTGGGGAAACCTGGGCTTTAGAGTCACTCAGCCTTTTCATGCATTAGCTCTGAGACTTCAGACACACCATTCATTATTCAACAAACATCACGTGAGCATCTATAGTTCACTGGGTTCTGGAAATACCAAGTATCTGCCCTCAAGTCTCAAGTCTTTTTTTTTTTTTTTTTTTTTTTTTTTGGTCTCGCTCTGTCACCCAAGCTGGAATACAGTGGAACAATCTCAATTCACTGTAACCTCCACCTCCCAGGTTCAAGCAACTATCCTGCCTCAGCCTCCCAAGTAGTTGGGATTACAGGTGCACACCACCACACTTG